TTGCTTTTAGTCTTCAAATTTATATCATTACTCTGATTAAATTAATTACAACTCTAATTTGTATTATTAAGTACTATTCAGTTGAGCATTCAGCTCGTAATTCAAACAGCAGTCTTCATTATTATTGTATAAATATTCGAAAAATCATAAAATATCCTTTGAAAAAGTATTATATAATATTATATTGTTATTGGCCAAAGCGATTGTTATCGTTTACTTTATAATGATTTTTAACCTTTTATGTACGTATTTATAATATTTTATAAAATTCACAATACATTTTGTTTTTGCGCTTTTCCAACTCTAGTACGGTGCGATTATTTATTATTATTATTTTTTTTTAATATCAAAACGTTTTCTACTATAATACAAATATCCATTAAGAAAATACTTTCTTACGTGAACTATTGAAATAAAACTCTATATAAAAAAAACCAATTAAATTTCTACACACCTTTGATTACCACGGAAATCTTTATTATAGAATGTATAGTTTAAAAAAGGCCGAAAGCTTTTTCGTTTTGAAACACGCCTTTGTTAATATTTTATTTTTTATTTAAATTTCATTAAAGCGTAGCTAGGTAATATCGAATAGTTCTTAAATATTGTTGATTATTTTTTTTTATTCGTTATGTTCGTATTTAATTGTGAAATTTTGAGCAAACATTTTTGCAATTTTAGATTACGTTTACTTTTTTGGTATAAAGGTTATCATCTATAGTATTCAAATAATTAATTTAATTTTTTTTTTTTAGGAGGGGGAGAAGTTGTATACCATACGAAATTTATACTCTATTCTCGGTTTTTTTTTTTTTTATACGTGTTTATATAGTATAATACGTCACAAGCGTAGTTTAATTAAAAAATACCCAATTGCATTTTTTCAAAACATAGTTTAATTACATTTTGCATACATTCTTGTGGACTCAGCCTGTTTTGTGTAGTTTTTTACCCAATAAAAAATTGGAGGCGTTTTAAAGATAAAACCTCAAGTAAATTTTTTTCTCACTATATCATTTATTCAATTTTAGAATGTGTCACCACTCACTCGGTTTTTTTTTATTGAACGTCGCATTACACGATATAGATGAAATATTTTGTATCTCAAGAAGAAAAAGACAATTGAAGTACTTTTTTTGTATTGTTTCACAATATTATTTAATATATATCTATGTATAAACATAGAAACAGTCATTATAGTCTGCAATTGCTCTGGCAAAATGAAAATTACAAATTCTTTTACATTTATAAAATATTAAAAAATACTATACAAAAATGAACCGAATATATTTTTAAATTGTATGAAATATATTTAAATTTTAAATTGTATATTTTATAATTATTAAAATGATGTTTATACAATATAGGTACAACGGTATTCATTAATTTTGTATTTCATTTGAATAATATAGTCTTGCGAAAAAAAAAATGATAATTTTGACAAATTATTAGTACCGAAAGATATTGTCCATTAGAAAATGGATAATGGCAAACTTAAAGTGTAACTAAAAAAAGCCGAAAGAGAAATAGGGAGCTTTGATACACGAAGGTTGAACCATCCGAGCAGTGGTTGAGCACAGGGAAATTTTGAGAGCAAATACCGTTAATAAAAGTATACCCACCCACCCATTTATTTTTGTATATGTAAAAGAAATTGTTTTACTACACAACACAATTATACTCAAGAACTCTTCTGTGTGTGACCTTTTTGAGCGTCACTAGATCCAAGTGTCTATGAGAATTTCTAAACGTATTTAAGAAGTGAAACGAAAGAAGACTAATTCCCGTATAGAAAATGGCAATGACATAGAAAAGCTATGGTCAAGCATAAGAAACGCGATTCAGAATTTGGTTAAATAAACACGAACGTTTTAACATTTTTATAATTTACAAAATTGTTACAATGCCGAAAATTCACTGGAGATGAATGGCTAAATGACATTGAAAACGAAGAGAAAGCGATCAGATATAAAACAAGGCAAACAGAATCGTATGGAAATTAGAATTTTGAGACGCGAGAAAAGGAACTTCGTACCTATAATAAAAGACGTTGAAATAGATTATAAGAATAAATTAAGAGTAGAAACTTATGTATGGGAAAGTAAATATATTGAACAAGATGGTTAATAAAAACAAGCCGAATCATGATGGGATGCTATTTACGGACTTAAAATCGTCTTAATTTTATGATTATTATTTATAATTATTATGAAAATTATTCAAACAAGTTAGAGAATAGCTTATTTGATTTTATTCTTGATGATAATAATGAAAATCAAAAATACATTATGTCCAGCATATTTACTATATTATATTACTCATAATATTGCGACATTCTGTGACAAATATTAGAATTTAATTTCTAATGTTATGGTACCTATAAAATTGTATACAACTTGGACCAGAAAAACTGATATTTTCTATTTAAGTTATAATCTACGTGTATCTACAATAATATAGGTATTATAAATGCAATAGTTTTCATAATTTTTTCAAAATTGTTTGCATTGAATCTATTTACATTTATATAATTTAAATATTTATCCATTTTCCGTTTTCCAAAGATAACAAAAAATAAATAAATAAATATACACCGTTATTAAATCAATATACATTCCACAATGATATGCTTAGAATCTAAAAATTGAGCGTAATGTCATAATTTTTTTTTTTTTTTTTAATTGTCGAGGTTTCTAATTTGACGAAAATCGTAAAAAAAAAAAATGGACATTTCAAAATAACCGAACTTCCGATCTTAACTCAGAATTTTATTTCGTTAGCAACGATTCATCGTTGCGTACAAGTATAACGTAAATAACTCTGTGTTTCTTACCTTCTCGACTTCTCGTCTACAACAGCGGCACATTCATCGACAGTATTAGTTCTTTTTTTTATTGTCTTCGGCACTATCGTGACATCTGCTGGATCTTCTTTGTTTTTCGTTCAAATAAAAAATGTACAATGAACATTTTGCGTCAATACTTTTATTCGCATATTTTATATTTAATTATGATATTATAATATTGTAGTTCATACCGGTGTATAATATTATATTATGTCAACTCTAATGTTTGTATTCGAGTGATAATCCATTTGCGGACGGTATAGTATATGAATGCACAGCTGCAATAATGCACTTGAACCGACGTCATCGGATTAATATAATATGACCTAATTTACATTTCAATATAACTACAGAGTGATTTTTTTTTTAATTTTGTTACCATGATTCTTCGATTTTATCTGAGGATTTTAATTAAATTTGATTAGTTTTATTTTTTTATTTTAATATTATGGAAATGTTTGAATATCTGTTTGGACATTATTTTCAAATTAATTGTACCTTTTCTCCTTATATTTTAAATGAGTATTGACGAAGAGAACTAAACGAAGGTTTTCAAACTTTTGAAAATTAAATTTGGGGATGTATAAATTGTAAACTGTTCAAACTTATAAACGGTGAATTGAATATTTTTCGTGATAGGTACGCATACCATTAGTGGAAGTGGCATAATTTCTTTTTGAATCTGATTTGAAAATAAAACATTGACGTTTTGGTGATTTCTATTTTTGTTGATATTTAGGTAAGTACAAAATAAAGATGCAATTTAATTTGTTTCGAATTTCGTAAAAATCATTCGGTACATTTAATACAAAATGTTTCATGTTAATTGCTATTCTATAGAAAAAAACGTTTTCCCTTTTTTTTTCGCAAGTAGTATTTCAATTTAGTTTCACGAAGAATAACAGAAATCACCGCAGCATATTTTTTACGAACACATATAATCCCAGATGAAGAAAATATTATAGGTAAGTTTATAAAACCAAAAAGTTTAAAAACTAAAGTAAGAATATCGACTGAGGCGATATGCTGGGTAGGAACATAGAAGAAATATAACGACAATAGATGCTTAAAAACGGATATTCTTATAGAAAATTGTATTCATTGCCATCATGATGTCAATGAGAAGAAAATATATTATAATGCACATTTAACTTTCACTTTTTAAAGAAAATAATTATTAAAAAATATAAAACTATATTGAAAACAAATGCTAGTAAGTACACAAATTCGTATCTCAATACATTTTAACTCAGATTAAGTTAATTGAAGAAAGTGAACTAGCTACACGTTAAAATTGAAACGTTTTATTAATCAACTGAGTTAGGTATAAAGTTAATTTAAAAATCCAATTAACTTTTTAACTATCAAAGTAATATAGTTTTTTATTCTAAAATTGTAATTGCCATAAAATAGTAGTAAAAATGATTAAATCTTGGATTTATAATCTTGAGGAAATAAGAATGATCAAATTTAAGGTTATTTCGGAATTACCGAACTACTTATTTTATATTTAACACTACGTGCAACTCCACTCGACTACACAATGCAGTACACATCTTATTTAGTAAACCAAAAAAAGTATTAATGGATACTTAATACAAACTATTTGTAACGATTTATAAATTTAATATTGTATTAATACTCTAAAGAAATTTAAATTAAACTGTCGTGATATAATGATAATTCAAAATTTATTCGTTATTTATTATGGTAATTTGAAAAAAAAAAAAAAACAAGTTTGATTAATTTAAAAACCAAAGGTAGGTTAAAGCAATTTAATTTGTAACTTTTTGACTCGTATGTGCCCAGCCTATGTCACGCATAACATTTCACGCTAAAATATAATCCGATAACAATAACAACATTGTTAATAAACATCTACGCAATACTTACGATATTTACTGATAATCTCCGATTTTACCTTGTACGAATATTTGCAAATGCGTGTACATTTCCGTGCAACCCATTCTCTCGGTCGGGGTAAATTCTTCCCCGGACCGTTATACATTTACCTTGTAAATATTCTCGAAAAGTAACGCACGTATGCGCTTCATACTTGTACGACTGTACACAGTGCAACAAAATGAACAAAAAGAACCCAACAATACATTGATAGTAATTATATTATAATATAAATTATTTAACACAAAATACACGGCTACGTTCATAATAATAATAATAATAATAATAATAATAATAATAATGAATAGCATGATAATGCGTATATAATTTTTTTTTTTTTTTTTTTTTTATTCTTCTATCTAAGTAATATATAATATCGTATTGTATTTTATCGGCAACGTGTTATTACACGAGTGCCGTGTATCATTTTAACACACCCGTCGATTACCTATATCGTTTAATACAATATTGTATAGTTTTATAAATTCTCAATAATAATTGTAATGTATATAAATATATATATAGACGTTATAATTATAATAAAATATCGTTCTCTTACAGATAAATTACACGACCACATATGGTTATAATTTGCTAACGGTACTAATTTATTAATAGTAATATATATATATATATGTATGCATATGAATATAGTAAATATATAAAGTTTCGTATGATAATTCCTTAGTTTGCGCAGTTTGGTGTCTTTATAATAAATAATCGTGTGGATGCGACACGGCCAGTACGGTTTGAAACGAGAAAACAATTATGATTTTAGTCTACTACATAATGTAACACAATATCAAACTAAGTGAAAAAAAATATACGATTTTCTTCAAAAATATTACTGCAGTGTAAACATGTTTACCGATTGCGGAGTAATAAAAAAAAAAAATCGAATCATAAACTAAAAAACTACTCGTATTATAAAAAAATAAATAAACAACAGGTATACACACGATGTGAAAGTCTTTAAATTTCGAATAAAATACATTATGTTGTGGGATATAGGCACGTATAAATTATAATATAATGTAGACACGTTACACGGTTAACTATACAACAATATATAATACGAATATTTAGTTACATTAATTTTAAAATAAGTAATTATACCTATGCACGTTCAATGACATTATTTTTAAAATGCAACGAATTACACTAATAAATTATTGTAACAAATACAAGTATTTGTTCAACCCGTTTTCATTCTTTAAAACTATACAGGTAATAATAGTAATAGACACGTTAATATAATATGTATAACATTAAACATTAAAAAACAAAAACAAACAAATAAAACGACCATACCAAGACATATTATACAATTATACTTCACTGCGTTATTCAAGAGGACTCTTAACACTCGCAAACGCACGTCACATGCGTTCAGCGGGGACAACTTTGTGCCGTTAGTTTTTATATTATTACAGTGAATCGACCTATTGTTAAACTCGAAAACAAAAATCGCATTGTCAACGCCAAAGTCGGTGCTGCCATTCCGATATTCTGATAGGCAAGTGAGATAATATAAGCGTTATTATAGATTATGACATTTCACGCAATCGTATCTCGCTTGAAAATTCAAATATCGAAAAAATAATACTACCGTGTCATACAGATAATGTTTTTGTTGATCTTCAAGTTTGATAAAGGATCGATTCGTTGTGTGCCGTTAAAACTAACAGCGCAAAGTTGCAGGGCTGCTGAACCCGATTTCGCGTTTGTAAGACGCGTTTTGCGTCTTAATGCAAATATTTTCACGTACGAAAGAAAAAAATCATAAAAAAAAAACCCTACTATTTGGGGGTGACAATTATTGTTATATATATGTATTTTTTTTTTTTTTTTTTAACGCGTTTCACTAAACTATACAATAATATTATGTATTCGATAATTTTTAGGCGTATAAAAATTTAACATACCTTAATATTATATTAATAATAATTTAATTAAGTTTTATTAATTTCTTGCATATTGTATCCGTACAATATTATTATTTGACGGCGATATATTTTTTTTTTTTTTAAACGATTTTACACAGTAAATTATATTATTAATAAAGCCGTACGTACTCGTATAGGTTACGCTTATGATTATGTACAGCATTCTACTATACACATGCGTATATATTTTCTCGGGTTCATATTATATTTAAAAACACTATTACGCGGAAAGTTAGCAACGTGAATATTATAGGACTGTAAAACTTTAACATTCGAAGCGCGGGGGCGCGCGCGCGCGCGTGTGCGTGTGTGTGTGTGTGTGTGTGTGCGCGCGCGGGTGTGTGTGATCCTATATTACAGTAAACGGGTATAGGACGGTTTTAGTTTTTAATGCGTAAAATGCAAAGACCAAACAAATTGTATTAGCTACCGATAAATAATTAATCTATAACCGCGGGCGAACGTCCGTAAGTATAATATAGTGTTTTTTTTTTTTTTTTTTTTTTTTTTTCAAATATTTCAACCGCTAATCGTGCCGTGTCTACTGTACAAACATATTGTAATATTGCCCTGTCGTTTCGATCGTGGACCCGATACAAACATATTATATTTCGGCGTTTGACGTTCGACCTGCAGCAGTGAAATGCGCTCAGTATTTTCTTTTGAAACTCTCTCTCTCTCTCTTTCTATATATATACCTAATGTAGTACACGGGCGCTGCTCTATAGGAGATTTCAATATTGCCCGCCGTCATTTTCGACAAGGCCGGGCGTCGTCGTAACGAGTTAGAAAGTTCAAAGTTAAGTCGATATGTTATTAAATTCCTTTTTGATTTTAACGCAATATTGAATACGCAATTTGTTCCGTCGTATAAACGTGTATTGTGTACGTTTTTCTTTTAATCGATAGCGGTGCGCGCGAAGTTTGAAATACACGTATAGTTCGATATTTCCGGAACAAACCCTCCGGGCGCGTTCAATATATAATATCGATAGTCTTTTCTTTTTTTTTTTCAAACCTTATTCCGAACTCCAAATCCCATCGTTTTCTCGGTGACCATAGTAGTTTTACCGAAAAAAAAAAAAAAAATTCGTCTCCTCGACGTAATGTATTTTAATAAGTCGATTACCCATGTTTTCAAATCGACTTTTAACTCGATCATTAAATTCGAAAGTATCAACTTTCAACGTGTGTTAACTCGTTTATAATTTTTTTTTTTTTTTTTTTTAACCGTCTCGAACCTAACCGGGTAAATATTATTCATTAACTTGCCCAGCCTTGACTTCTATATGCGTACACGACATACTGAAATATCGATAAACACCGTAGTTTTTATCAATGTCAAAAACACATCGCACGGGAAAACGTAAAATAATATAAATTACAAAGTGCCCCCGTGGACTATAATACACACTATATAGTTATATTATTATTTATAAACTAAGTATCAACTTTCAACGTGTGTTAACTCGTTTATAATTTTTTTTTTTTTTTTTTTTTTCAAAATTAGTATAAATATCGTTTGAATAATATCGTGGACCCGCAGACTCGCCGTGTAATTCATCGGAAATTATATTATCGACGTTTATTATAACGTGACGTTACTTGAAGGCCGTGCCGTTGCCCCGTCAATCCGGGGAGGTGGGTAGGACAATGTCGGGCACAAGGAGAGTAATTTTTTAACCCGCGGGGGCGTTAATCCAACATCGCGCCACTCGTCCCCCGCAACGGCTACCCGGCTTAAAACAAAAAACCGGTCCGACTTTGCCGGTACTCTGCCGGACTTTGCGTCGTTTTCTTCGTCCCGATTTTTTTATTTTTTTTTTTACTGGACCCCGCCGAATAATATTACCACGCTCGACGAACGTTTTTTCTAAAGGTTAATGCGAAATAAACGAGCGGCGGGGAAAAAAAAAAAGTAATACATCAAATTTAGTTTCGCCGGCCGACCGTCATCGACCCCGTAGAATGTTTATGCGGTTTCGAATCTGTTGTTGAGTGTACCACAATATTATACAATATATATTCATACGTAGGTATTTATCTCGGTTTCCCGTAAATTTTACGAAAACGCGAAACGTGTACGAGCGTAACGCGTATGCAGACAACATAGATTTTACCGTAAAGTTATAATGTACAATATGATAATAACGCGTGCATCGCACATAGCCGTCGGAACTTTTTAAATTTCAATTGGAATAAAAAAAAAAAAAAAACGACAATAATACAGTCGGAGGAATGAAAAATAGACCAGGTAATAAAAAAAAAAAAAATATATAAAAATAAAATATACCACGATTTTATTTTTCCAATTAAGTCATAATATAAATATAGTGGGTATACATTATGATGCATAGTACTCACGCGAGTAATGAAAATTATAAAAGTTACGCGCGTCTAGATTATATTATTACCGCGGATATTATAAGTTTTAAATGTATCGTTGTATAATACGGAGTTCATAGACTATTATTTATTATTTTTTTTTTTTATGGTTTTTTGTTTTTTTTTTTTTTTTTTTTT